AAATATGGTTCGGCTGTACCAACTTGATTTTGTAACAAAACAAAACTTAAAAGTTATGAAGAGGAAAGATATGAGTTTTTGTTTGTTTGTATTGAAAAAGGCTCCGTAAGTATGTACAAGGTCGACTAGAACAATTCTTGCAGCTTACATTTTATGGGCAGTAAATAAGTTACTTTTGGTTCATATATTGCTCCGGAATCCGGAGTTAACCAACAATGCTCTTCTAAATACCACGCCTATGAAGTCGCAAGAGGAAGTCTGGTGAATAAGTAAAATAATACGACTGCACGGTTGCCGTTGTGGGTCATAGGTTATGAGATGAAGGTTTTCGATTTCTGCACGGTACAATCCAAAAAATTATACAATCAGGTTTTCATAAATAAATAAAATTGTAAGTTATCTATAAAAATTACTGATCCGGGTTTGGGTGCGATGTGCATACAGGATAAGAACTACTGAAAAAAATACCTCGTTTTAGAACTCTGATCGGAAGTCCACGTGACGAAAACTAGTACTATAGGTATATTTAGAGTATAGGTGTATCTTACTTATTGATTAATAAAACTACACATTCATTCATTCAATGCCGTTTATTTAATCCGACTGCACGGTTGGTGCATTGGCTGGGCAACCGGCCTGCGGTCAACGTGATGTGGGTACGATTTCCGCACGGTACAATTCTTAGTGTAGTTCACAAATTACTGATCGTATACGAAATTGTATATATTTAAACACACACTACAAGTTCACATACACAATACTCCCATAAAGGGGGTGTGGCAGTTTGTACCAAGCATTTTGCAAATTAACGAGAGCGAAGCCGCAGGCAAAAGCTAATGTTATTATACAATGTGAACGATCTTAAGAATGATGTACATTGATTGGTAATATTTTCAACTATTTTTAGGGAGGATAATTGTCCTAATAACATAATAACATCACGCCTTTTATATCCGAAGGGGTAAGCAGAGGTGTACATTATGCCACTGTACAATGAAACACCCACTTTTTACTATTTATGTTATGAGTCCCATTTAATAGGGGGTGAGCCTATTGCCATATACCGGACACGATTCAAGACTCTGTGCTACTACTGTGAATTTTTTGAAATACTCAGTAATACTTTGCCCGACCCGGGAATCGAACCCGAGACACCTTGCCCGGCAGTCGCACTTGCGACCACTCGGCCAATGAGGCAGTCCTAATTGTCCTAATAAGAAACTCAATTACTAAAATAAACAAATTAAAGTCTAGGAGCCGTTGCCTCGTCGCTCAATAAAAAATGTATATTATTGACAGAGACGTGACGTCATGCGATAATTTAAATTAGATTGCTGAAAGTTTTTAATTCTATAATAAAAAAAATGTGTCTCATATTTTTAGTTGTTTAAGACTTTGACTGCCAATAAAAAAATGTTGAATGTAAATCCTCCGCTAACGTCGGTCACCGGTGACCCCCATGGCGTTTAACGTGTTAAGAAAAGTAACGCTGTCATCCGCTGCTCAGCTTAGGTATCAATTGTAGCATAATGTTTTATAGTCTTCAAAATAGGGGGTGATAATTTGCATTATCGTCCGTCATTTTGAAAGCAAAATTAACAAAATTTTGTATTTTGGTTACGTATTGCAATGTTATGGCATTTAGAAATTTGGCTTAGCAATAGATGAAATACGGGTTTAAAGTTTGTACGAGTCTAGCACTATAAGTCTAAGGAAAACTAAATTTGTATTTAGGCTAATGATTAAAAACTAATAACAGATATGTTTGCAATTTTACTCAATAAGGGATGAAAGTTTTAAGTGTTGACAGCCATGCTTCGGCACGAATGGGCCGGCTCGACCGGAGTGATACCACAGCCTCACAGAAAACCGACGTGAAACAACGCTTGCGTTGTGTTTTGTTGTGTGAGTAAGGTTACCGGAGGCTCAATTACCGCTCCGCCCGTTCCCAGTCTCCCCAACCCCCGAATCCTCAAATTCCCAATTCCTAAAGGGCCAGTATCGCACTTGTAACGCCTTGGTGTTTCAAATGTCCATGGGCGGCGCCGATTGCTTACCATCAGGCGATTCATTTGCTCGTTTACCGGCGTTCGCCAATAAGAAAAAACAAAAAAGTTTTTTGTATCATCAACTTCCACGCGAGAAAAGACGCGGAAAATAACTAGTATTAATAAAGATGGACATTCAAAAAATATCATCGTCCCCAAATTTTCGTAAATAATATCTACGATATAAAATATTTGCGGAGAGCTAACAAAGATCGAGCTAAGTAGCGTGCTTGGAGACGACTGTGCCAAGAAATGGGCGGACGGACTATAGTCCGTATATTATAATATAAGTTCACAAAAATTGCATAAAAACGATTGTTTGTTAACCGGTCTGTAGAGTTTTTGTCTTGATTCGTATAATTAATGCTTAGCGGTCATACTAATTGTAGGTGAGCGCGGTCATGCATTTCTTTTTAATCTTTGCTATTTATTCTACTGCAAATACACCTACCTACAACGATTACTTTAAACTATTTTTTTTTAATAGCATAAGCCGATAAACGAGCAGACGGATCACCTGATGGTAAGCAATCGGGGATTCGGGAGACTAGGGAATGGGGTAATTGGGCCTCCGGTAACCTCACTCACATGACGAAACACAACGCAAGCGTTGTTTCACGTCGGTTTTCTGTGAGGCTGTGGGCAGTTGTATCACTCCAGTCGAGCCGGCCCTTTCGTGCCGAAGCCTGGCTCTCCCACACTTATTCTAGTCTGTTTACAATGTACAATTTTCAAACATTAAAAAAAAGAAAGAAAAAAAAAACTATTTCACACTAAAATAACAAGTGACATGTACAGATAAGTCATTCTATTAGTAGGTACTGAACTGAACATGTTCATGTCCCAAGTCTGCCGTAAAATAGGACCAGTTCAGCATATGCAAGACAGGGCCTTGCGCTGGTATTTAAGAATTTTATATGTATAGGTAAGTGTTGCATTGCACCTTTATTTATGCAGGGGTGTGCAATGTGCATGTTAGGTGTAACATCACAATTTATCAGTTATATTTTATTTTATATACTATATGACTGCCTCGTTGACCGAGTGGTCGCAAGTACGACTGCTGGGCAAGGGGTCTTCGATTCCCGGGTCGGGCAAAGTATTACTGGGTTTTTAAAAAACTCTCAGTAGTAGCACGGAGTCTGGAATTGTGTCCGGTTAATGGCAATAGGCTCACTCCCTATTACATGGGACTCGTAACATAAATAGTGAAAAGTGGGTGATACATTGTACAGTGGCATAAAGTACACCTCTGTCTACCCCTTCAGGGATAAAAGGCGCGATGTTATATTTTACTATCCATGACTTTTTTTATGATGGCAAATAATCTGACGAGTTATCTGGAGCTATATCATCTGACGGTAAGCAATCGGCGTAGCGCCACCCCATGGACACCCACCACACAAGAGGACACAAGGGTGTGATAAAAGGCCGGGACTTTTGGGAGAGGAGAATGGTTTGTCGGTAATCCTACTCTCACCGCGGAAAACAACGCGAACGTTGTTCCACGTTGGTTTTCTGTGACGTTCTAGTGTCACTCCATTCAAGCCGACCCATTTTTATCGAAACATAACTCTTCTACGTGAAATATCTATTTCTCCATTAAGACGAGACTTTAGCCACGACATTATTTTCACAGCTTTATCACCTTTATTTAAGAACTATTTTTATACTTAATTATAATTACTAAGCCTGAGTGACTTGGTAAATCCAAAGCATTATGTAAATACGATTATAATCTCAAGACTACACTTAAGTGGATTCACAGGGAATGGAAAATACAGACGTAGAACAACATGTCTATCTATTACTGTTATTCAGATCGATGGGTAAAAACCAGAAACTATTTTTACACAACACATGTAGGTACTGGAATAATACTGAAACTCGTTCTAAAGTTTATGTTTTTTATTACAGTTTTTGTTCTAGTTTAGAATAAAAAAATATAATTACTAGTGTAACTACTAAATGCGTGATGTAGAGTAGAGTACCTACATGAGTTCTTATTAATTTAATTGGATTTTATTACCAAAAATAGGAAGTTTTTACGTATTCTATTATGGTTTTTGATGGTCTCATAACGAACTTATGATTATAACAAAGTTATGCGTAAGATATGCCGCCAATTATACTCAATTAGTTACTCAGCCGGTTTCGATTGGCTTCATTTCCAACTAAATTCTACAAAACCTTTACAAATGCCTTTATATAAAGTTTTCAGTATCAAATTATCATATCAACAGCCTATAAGTGGCCACTAATCCTTTGACCAGGCTTCTTCTCGTACGTATAAGGTTCGAACATTAATCACCACGCCTGCTCAATGCGAGTTGGCAATTTCAAACTTATAGTTACAAATATAAATGCAAATAACCCTAGGTTTCTTCACGGTATTTTCCTTCACGGTTTGTCAGTGGCGTCTAAATATAATCTTAAAAAGTACATAAAACTCGGAAAAACGCATAGGTATGGATATATTGGTCCTGGACTTTGGTAGATTTGGGACGGAAACCTTCATACTGAGAAGCTTTAAACCTCCGGCCTTCCACAACATTTGGTATAGGTAACACATACTTAATTCTGATTAACTTGAACTATAATGACACTATAAGATTGAAAATTTAGCTCCCTAAAGTGTAGCAATCAATATCGCACTTGTACGGAAACATACAACTAAAAAAAATAAATTGGAACAAGTTTTTTAAAGGCCCATCTATCGTAAACAATCTGATTAATAAAAACGTCAAGGAAGCCTAAAACAAAACAAGAACTCGAAGCATAAACATAAACAAAATCATTAAACAAAATAAATATGCAGATTTGATGCAGACATCGAAAGCTAACAAAGTACTCGTCCGTTCTAAGATTCGGTATAAAAACAAGAAAATCCTAAGAATCGGGTATCAATTAAGTTTGTGACGTGTGCAACATAAAACTTGTTTAGTGTCTGGATTTGGGAGCTGATGTCTTAGCATATATAATGAAATACTGACCCCGAGCACTGCATACGAACTGAGCTCGTGCAACAGTCATCACCAAATCTTGATTTAAACGTGAGTAGTTTTGTATGTTGCAATCTAATTCTTATTCATAAAATAAAATAGAACAAATAATTCTCGCGTCTAGACATTAATGTCGTTTTCATTTGGCCTTTTAGCGCTTTATTAGTTGATTTTATTGGTAAATGTAATAATCTTTCTTATTTGTAATGTGTTAATCTATCTAATACCCATATAAAGTACTGAGTTTTAATCGGATTTAAACTCGGATAAACCTCAAACTTTATTAAATTGCAAATGCATCGGAAACTAATAAATTAATTTGTCGTAAGAAAGAAAAATACAATATTTTTAAATATTGTAAAACTATCTAATATCCCTTGAAAACTCATTCGTATAGTAAACAAACTATAGTTCATTATTCTACTTGCGGTTAGGGTCTGTATTATTTGGAGCTTGCATTTGTTTTTATAAGCAGTTTAGAGGACTCGGTAAATCGCAGACTTCTTCAATGGAACATTGAAGATTTTTCGAGTGAAACTATCTAAGGGCTGATTTTTATTGTAGAATTAAATTGACATTTGACAGATATTAGTATTGAAGAATTGTCAAGTATACAAAGTTGTGTTGTGTTAGATAGTCTATTTGTCGGGTAAGGTTTTAGGCTATAAAACATCTCGCTGCGACCAATAGGAGCTGAGCATCTTACAACCGCGCGGGTTCAGCTAGTTAGTAAATAAACAATACTGTATTTTCATTATACGTCGCCATGCATATAATATTGTATCGAAATGAATATAAAATGGCACGTTTTTTCGGTCCGTACGTCAGACTTGCAAGAATATAGACAGAGGTTTATAAAATACCTATAATAATAATTAATACGTTGTTATTACTTTCATTTCTCAAATATAATTGTCGAGGAAATAATACCTAAAATGTAGTTAAAGATTTATTTTCACTGTAACTTTTCGAAATCTCAGTTTAAAGTCGTATAAGGCTTTTAAAAGTGGTGCTCACAACATAACAAAGTTTGTTATTAAACAACTCACATATTCAACATAATAATTAATAATGCCTTAAATATAATACGTCTATAGAATTCATATATTTTAGTTCGAAGCTCTCCGTTTGTGTGTTTGATTGACTGCACCAATCTCTGGGACTACTAGTTCGAATTAGATTATTCTTTCGAGGGTAGGCTATAAAAAGGCTTTGAAACCGCGTAGAAACAGCTAGAGTAATATCAAAATTAAAATGTCTAATCGTTTATTTAATTAGTTTAAATTAGTTTAACTAGAAACATCTTTTTATAATAACTATTTATGATAACTATCGTGAGCAGCGTGCGCGGTAACGGCGACGTCACGCACGCGGCTGTATGATGAAGAACCCCTCTGTGGTTCGAAACTAGTAGAGCTTTTCTCAGTATATTCACGTGAGTAACCATCTTCTTTATTCAGAGAATCCTTCACCATGAAAGTCGTGTTCCTCGTGTGTGTGTTGGCTGCAGTGGTGTACGCCCACCCTCATGAGTCCCATTACACGGACAAATGGGACAACATCGACCTGGACGAGATTCTAAACAACAAGAAGATTCTGGCTTCTTATGTGAAATGCTGCCTGGACCAGGGCAAGTGTACACCTGATGCCAAGGAATTGAAGTGTAAGTAGGCTAAATACTTTTAACTAATGAATTTCCTATTTAGGTACATTATTTCAGTTTTCCATACTAACATATTATAAGTCAAAGTCAAAATCATTTATTTCAATTAGACCAGTAAGGCACTTTTGAACGTCAATAACAAAAAATTAAACGTGAAGCTTGCTGGTTCCAAGGTGTAGACTCCTATGTAGAAGAACGAGCAATAAACTCCATAGGTTACTCTTTTTTAATCAGGTTCACAATAAAATTCTCTAGTTACTTAGTTTTATTGTCTTTCTTCCATTAGGATAGGCAAAGAAAATATTTTTCATCTTTTCTAGAATTTAGAGGAAAGTGAAAATGTACGTCAGTCAAGGATAGGTATACATACAACATCATGTATAGTCTTTTAAAGTTATGTTATTCGTCATACTGTGATAGGGGATTTGTTTGTAAACTGTGTTATTAGCCAAACGCTGGGCAACACTTCGGTACTTTGTGCTTTTATTAGAAATGAAAATCTCTCTTCTTCGATCTTTAGCCCAATCGATTGACAAGACAATAAGTCTGTAAATCCCGTAAAACTAGTATTTCAAGATTTATAGTTATCTTCATCAGAATCTAGATCAGAAGTCTTTTAAAAGTTTCAGTTTCCTTATACCGCTTAAATTTTAAAAATCGTGTTAGCCATTCGCTTTGGCGATCGGCTGAACATTCAACGAAATTTTCATATATTATATTTGCGAACTATATTATTCAAACATTCGCAGAGAGATTTATTTTAATTCATGCCCTTTAATTCACGTTCAAAACACCGTTACCAACACCAACAACAGGCGAACGGCGCCATGCAAATATTGTACAGTACACTGTTTACATTATGCTTGTTCGTCACTCACCTTGCGACTCGCACTGATGTGTAAATGCAGCGCAAAATACATTTAGTATTCATACAAGTTATTAAGAATCAAAGAATCAAATTAGTACTTAGAAACTAAAAATATCTCTTTATAATAACTATCGCGACACATAATAAATTAACTAAAATTGCGGGTTACTCACGTGAATATACTGAGAGAAGCTCTACTAGTTTCGAACTACAGAGGGGTTCTTCCTCATGAGCAGCGTGCGCGGTCGCGGCGACGTCGAAAAGCTTTTCTCAGTATATTCACGCGAGTAACCCGCGATTTTAGTTCAAAATACCTCTATGAGCTTTGTCACAGTTGTTTATTCAGAATTTTCATTCACAGCGCACATTAAGGAAGCTTTGGAAAATCGATGTGGTAAATGTACCCCAGCTCAGAAGGATGGTACTCGCAAGGTGTTGACACACCTCATCAACTACGAGCCAGAAATGTGGAACCAGCTCTGCGAGAAATACGACGCCGAAGGCAAATACAGAAAAATGTATGAAGACGAATACAAATCCGTTAAACACTAAATAACTTATTTCATGAAAATAAAGTATTTTTGAGACCATTCCGTTTTTTCTTTGTCCCTCATTTGTTCCTAGGCTGTTGAAACTGCAGTGGAATTTTTATTATTTTCGTTGTCCATAGCTAGTTTAAGTATCACCTTCACAAGTTAGCCTTCGTAAGACTTCCTTGCCGAGCCATTTTAATATGTAAGTATTTGTTTATATTATCGCGTTTTATGCTACTCTTTGCACTAAGGTCAGACCTAGGAAATGTAATTGACTGGATCTTGTGTTCTTAGAAGAATCGCGGATGTAAATATATAAACATCTAAAATATAGACGTATTTTTCTGTTAATAATTTCGCAAGAAAATTGACAATTAAATTATTATACATCAAACATACTACACATATCACTTATCACGAAACCATTGAAGTTAAAAAGTTCTAGTTAAATAGTTTGGCTAACTCGAGGATTCGATTTAAGATCTCAAGTACCCATTTTGTCGCTAGAGTACCGCGATGAGGTAGTTTATTCACGGATGTATACTTTTCAACAAAAACAACATTAACATGCCTAAGTACATTGTATAACATGCAGTTTACCTTATTGTTAAACTTAAGAGCAAAATGTTAAGACTTTATTGCTATGAAGAATACTACAAAAACAGAAAGACCTCTTTTTACTCAGTCGGTTGAGTCATCGTGACTACTTATGACTTTTTTTTAAGTGGAGAAAATCATCGAATGGCTGCTCCCGCCTGGGTGAGGCGGGAGGGAGTGTCAGACTCTTACTGACTAAAAACCACCCCGTTCCTTCTCCTACACGTCGAGCCGGAGTTACTTGTGATTAATTTAGTCAACATTGAGTACCTGGGCATCATAATGACCTATAAATTGATTTAAATTATGATCTTTATGTAGGTCAATGTAACTTAGAGGTAGTTAGAGGTCAGGCAGTAATAAACGACTTCAGGTATGATAGTTGTACCAGGGCTGCGGAGCATCTAGCAGGTTGCCAGGGCTTCAGGTCGATGCTGGAGTAGGAACGGGTGGTTTTTAATCAGAAAGAGTCTAACATGGGAATGTGCGGAAAGGGGTTTCGCCTCACTCAAGGTGAGAGAATTGATTGGATGATTTTCTTTCTTTTTTTATTGCATAAGCCGGTAAACGAGCAGACAGATCATCTGATGGTAAGCAATCGGTGCCGCCCATGGACACCCGAAACACCAAGGTGTTACAAGTGTTGTGAAATTTGAGGATTGTGGAGGATACGGGGATTCGGGAGACTAGGGAGGTAATTGGGCCTCTGGTAACCTGACTTACACGACGAAACACAAAGCAAGTGTTGTTTCACGTCGGTTTTCTCAAGAAAAAAAAGAACAAAAACGGTACATATAATAGTTGTCAGTTGCCACTAAAAACGAAATTAATAAGTATTTTCACTCTTGACTGTCACTAACTTTTGTACTTAAAATTACTTCGGCACTACAGCAGATAGAGTAAATTCTCAAGCAGCTTCTTACACGACTGTAATGTGTGACACACTATGTATGTGGAGGAATATCGACATATTCCTCCACATAGTGTATGGCACTGTCACAATAAAAACAAAATAAGAGTAAAACAAATTGTAATAGACTATTGTTGATCGATGTCGATGTTCGAAAACAACAAGAAATTGTTTGTTCAAGTAAAGCAATCACTTGAACAACAAGTTGCTTGTTGTTTTTTTCCCTTTTGCACTCTGGTCGGGTTTATAAATAGTTGACAAATAGTTGGAAACCTTCAACTTTGTATACCTACAAATGAACTTAAACGTTCGAGTATAATATTGTGGTGCCTGTGTTTGACAAGCTGTCGTCTTCATGTGCATTTTGATTTTGAAATATAGATTTTAGTAATCGTGACTTACATATTTCTTAGTTTTTTGTTATAGCCTAATTTGTAGTGTATCGAGTAACTTAATGTAAACTTCCCTTAATGTAAGTTCTTGAGAATAGTCAGAGAGAGTGTACCTTAGTTTGAGCTTGACATTTCATGCTGTTTTTGTTTCTTTAATTTAAATTTTCCTTTGCTTAGATTTTAAACTTTAAACTTATAATCAATTAATAATTATATTTTTTTGTATTAATGTAAATTAAAAAACTATATGCATGTTGTGGTTACATATAATTGTAAATACAGATAGTTTTAAGGTATTTTTAACTCAAAAATATTTTCATAGTGCAATATTCCTGTGTTTATGTCGGTAACCCTCTAAATAAATAAATGTTCGTATCTATCATTGCAATCTTAGGACCGTTCTTGAAATAACAACAAAGTCAATCAATATAAGAGCAGTACAAACATTGGATCACTGCAAACAGTCAGACTAGTGGTTTAAATTATGGCTTTTGTCATTATTATATCATTACGAATTTAATGTGACAGTAAAGAGATACTTATAGAGAGTAGGTAATTGTATAACTGAAGTTTAATTTAATTATAATGTAGGTACATTATTTTCACATTAACAAGCACAACTGCTTCGCTGAAGGAGGAGACGGCTTCCCTGTTCCCCTCGCCCCTCACCATAGCAATAACTATTGGACTGATGTGGATGTCATATTTGTATATATTTCAATATTTTATTAGATTTATTGAATAAGACATAAATTAATATTGGTTTTACTACTTAAAGATGAAATTACTTTACAATTAACGGCTTCATCGTAACAAGGTAAATTAATCATACTGGTTGTCAACTTAGCGACCTTTACGACTCATGCGTTCATTAAAGTTGTGTGAGTCAGTGAACAATTTGCAGAAAACAATAGAGTGCGTCACCATTCAGCACATTATTTATTAACCCTTAAATAGAGGTAGATAAAAATAGAAAGTAGGTATTTCTGCGCGTTTTCACCCGTTTGTGAGTTCCTATTGGTCATAGTATGTTTAACATCTCAAAGCTTTCCTCCATAAATGGACAATTCAACACAAAAAGAACTTTTCGATTCACACCATCCGTTCCTGATATTAACTCGTTCAAACGAACTAGCCTTTCAGCTGTATTAATATAGATTTTAGACTTCGTCACTTAACCAGGTTGTCCAAAAACTTTCTACTCTGTTGTTGATTCAATATTCAATAGCTTTTCTTTTTTTAAAACTTACCCCACACTACGATTTTCTCCTGTGTCGTGGGTACGTTTACAAACATACAAGTCCACATACACAGGACACCCAGACCCGGAACAACAATTTTGTGGATCACACAAAGAGTTGCTCCGTGCGGGAATTGCACCCGCGACACGTTGCGTGGCAGCCGGTTGCCCAGCAACCGCAATACCGTGTCATTGACACAAACATATATGGTGATAATTCAGTTATCTATAAGAAGGTCACTGATGCCCACCTCTGGTCTATAAGTATAAAGATTACTTTATATTTATTTACTAGCAGGCTTCTCAAATAATGTTTTATGCAACTTGCGACAAAACTATAAAGATATTTCTTTAAAAATCTTTATTATTTTTGACATAAAAATGTTTTGTAATCACAAAGTAGTTAGCAGTGGGTGGATGAGAAGAGTCGAACATCAAACTCAGTTCTTTTTATGCCTGGGATGATAGAAAAGGGATAGTAAAAATTGACAAAAAGTCATATCTAAAATGTCTTAAGAATCTTATTATTACACATAGTAGGTACTAAAACATAAGAGTAATGGGAAATATTCAAACGCCACTCATTGCAGACGGTGTCAAGAATTGTTATCTCACTATAAATCCTTTGTAAATTGCCAGAGATAGCCGGATATTTACTTACTTATTTACTTATTTCACTTACTTTTAAAGTAAAACAAACTCGTACTAAGGCCTCTGTATTCGGACATAAAACGTTAATATTTTTCAAGCAGATCTAATACCACATTATTTAGTTCAAGCTTGTTTGTAAACTTGTATATGTTTTTTGAGGTATCGCATGAACATATGTTCTTTCATCATAAAAAGTTATAGCTATTATTATAGAACATGGAACTAGTTAGATAAATTATTGTTGCTGATAGCTTGTTGCGATGCTGGTTATATCGCATCACCCAATTAATCAATCTTCAATCTTATTTCTGTTGTATAGAATTGACAATGGATTAAACAATATGTTTTTTTGGGGTATTTTGATGTGCATGTATACTATAAAGACTGATCTTGATCGTCGTCAAATCCATTCGACAGACATCAGTTTTTTCTTTGGCGGTGCAAAAAATATACGTATGCGTTAATGATTGACGGGTATACTAACTCTTTTTGCTTTTTTCAATTCATTGACGTAAGCTGGGGTCTGTGACGCAAAAGTTTTAATGATCGTAACTATATATTGGACCATTAAGATTTGTTTATTTATTGCTTACATAAATATGTATATTGTTTATGTAGAAGGGTGATAGAAACAACAGTTTTGCTACTCATAGCAATAATTTATATTTTTATATTTATATCCAAACTGTTTATTCTGTTTATTTAAGACGTTCGAAATCAAAAACCCCAAATTGGAAAAAGATATTAAGCAGGGGTTTTACCTGCGTGACTTATTAAAGACACATTAAATTATATTGATAAAGATAGAATCCAATTTATAAGAACTTGTTTTACACGTCTTGGTTGTTAGGCTAAAATTAGATCTGTAATTATTATGATCTCAAAATCCCCATTGGTTTACGTCGGTATTTTTTATTTTGTAATTATAAATAGACTTTATTATTGAGGGAAATACAACAGAGTTGAGTATTAAACTCAATATCATTTTGTTTTATTTGATGTCTCAATATTTTGAAGGCCATTTTTTATTACGTTATTATGAGTTGACAGTAATGCACAGAAATTGAAGAAAAATGTAAACATCGTTGTGTAAGCATTGAGTCACCATTTTGGTTTTAAGAATATTTATTAATATTGTTTTTGTTGAAACTACGAATAAGTAAAATGTTTTCTTTAATTATTAGGTACCAAGTATTCACTAAATTTTAATTACGTTTATGTCAAAACGTGGAAACTATGACAAGCTTTGATATTCAGTGATAGGTACCTACACTATTACGGGTCAGTCCCATAAGATTCCGTTTACCTGTTACAATGAATAAAACTTTAGCGCCTATGTAAGAATTTATATGAAATCGAAGGTCCAATAACCTCGCCTGAAACACAGGATGTCCTAGTTTAGGTACCTTATATTGTGAACTTTACATAGCTTTAAGCAAAACTGTATATTTATAGACTAAAAAAATAAAATAAATTTTATTTTATTTATTTTGTTAATAATACTTTGTTTTATTTTGATAAATTCACGTCTCTGTGGCATGCGAAAAAAGCTGAATAAAGCCACAGAATACCATATAGTACGAAAGGGTCGTACTATCTACATATATGGTATTCTGTACTTTTTATTTTCTCTTTCTCTAGCTATGATTACACCCATAGACCGTATACATACCATATACACAAAATTCTATTTAAACACTATAATTTGGTTCTGATGTTTATTAAACTACAATACTTTAAACAATCGACTTCATTTTACTTTTTAATTTGGATTCCTATTTTACATTGACCTCTTAGTCTTCAGCAGCGAGGAAGGTTTCGTAGTTCTCTTTGTATTGGTCTTCAGGGTCGTACTTGGCGAGGATCTGCTTCCAGTACTCCTGTTCCTTGGCCCTGATGTGTCTGACGACCTTCCTGGCACCCTTCTTCTGTTTCTCAGTACATTTGGAGCAGGAGGTCTGCATAGCGTCCTTGATATGAGCTGGAATCAATATGAATGGTATTTTATTATTTTATTCGAAGTGTCTGTTTATCTTATTTAAGAAGTGTAATATTTATAAAATTAAAGACCAATTACGCCTGTCCTTTTGTAATGTAGGTAGAACAGAAAATCTCATTGATGGTTTTCGCAGTACTTTTGATTACTTGGGTATCAAACCCTAGATTTGATTGGCTGAATACTTGGGAGCACTATAACATAACATAACATCGCGTCTTTAATCCCCGAAGGGGTAGACATTACGGCACTTAATGCCACTGTAAAATGTACCCACTTTTTACTTTTTAATGTTGTACGTCCCATGTAATAGGGTGTGAGCCTATTGCCATCTATCGGGCCCAATTCCAGACTCCGTGCTACTACTGAGAATTTTTAGAAAACCCCAGTAATACTTTGCCCGACCCGGGGATCGAATCCGAAACCACTTGCTTGGCAGTTGCACTTGCGACCACTGGACCAACGAGGCAGAGCACTAGCACAGCATACTTATAAGGCAAATTAACATTTTTGAAGGGAAACAAAATTATTTTTGTATATGGACTTTTAATCTCAATTTATGCAGGCCAAACTTAATTATCATTAATGCAAATAAGATGGTTATTGCTTTTTTGGAAATACCTTTTCGGAGATATTTTTGGAAGGTCTGCTTAATATTTTCCAAAATAATTTTTAATGATTAAGTATCGAATATTCCAGATTCTCCATCTATTTTGACGTAATTCAGATTGATATCTTAATGAAATAGCATAGATTCGAAATCGTGATTTTCCATACATACGGAGATTCAAACATTTGATATGCATAATTAAAATGTTAACGTCATCCCGTTACCTGCGTCAGCCAATCTGGTCCTAATTGCCGATCACCATATTATCATACTATTTTAAAACAACTATGTATTGTTGTTTTCTAAGAAACAAATTTACATATTGCAGTGCAATTGGCAATTCTAAATAAATACAATAACTCAGTAAATTAAGGTAAGGAGAAGAAAAATTGGTTCCTACACCCCTAATTCCCACGATGGTTTTTAGACGGAAAGTACCTATGAGTCAAACAACCCTATTTATCCTTTTTATGATTAACTCGTCGAGTACCGTCATTATAGACACAATTATAGAACAATAGGTTGCGGTCACCGGTGACCGCTTGGTCACCGGTGACCTATCTGTCATATTGACCATATGACAGATATTAATCATCCAAAAGGTAAGATATTATTATTTAGGAACAATAACAAGGCGATGTTTGCTAGTCATGTCAATTTTTATCAGATACAGAACCACTATAATATATCAAAGATATAAATACAGCACTATTCGACTAAAGTTAAATACGTTAGCATGTATGTCCTAAGCCATCACAGTAACAACTTTAAGAATAACCTTTGCAATCATGGTCAGCACTCTAACCAACCAGATTGTATGAGGCAATATTCAAAGTAGTTCTAGATAGACATTGATAGCTTCTGATACTAAGAACTCATTGCAATCAGGCGGGGCAACACCTAGATCTAAGAAATAATAATAATATCTAGATTAATCAATATCATTGTATGTTAAACTACTTTGAGTACTTTTCCGTATTCTTTATTTATATCTATAGAAGATTGCTAATTGCTAATTGCCACGCTCACGGAAGGTTTGTGTCGTTGAATTGTTTTGCTCTTTGAACCCGTAAAAATATAGTATTGAGTCGTCAATAGGTATTGCTAAGTGTTAATTGTTATTCTTATTGAGTTTTTTAAATCGTAATAGTTCAAGTTGAAGTAAATCAACCTTCGAACATGAACTTCCTGAATGCCGAATGTCTAACCAATGCATTGATAATATATTTTTAGTGGACTCCCTTGACATATTCTATTGTATTTGTTACCCAAGACACTATTTATTACTCAAAAACGGCTAAATCGATTTAGATGAAAATTGTTGGGAGGTAATTTAGAACCAGAAGACGGACATAGGATAGTTTTATACAATACTATTCTATTACTGTTTACCGATACTCACGAACGAAAACGACTAACGGCAAGCAAAAGCTAGTAATATATAGAAGGAAAGTAGAGGAATTTCATTGATCACTTTTTGAGGTTATAAGTAAACCTATTTCTTACCTTTCAGTTCCCTGCCTTCTGGAGTACATCTTCCTTGGTCCAGGGTACACTTGATGTAAGGCACCAGCAGTTTCCTGTTCTCAATGATCTCGTCGATGTTGATGTGATCGTATCTGTCCGTATAAGTTTCAGCAGCTACGAAGGCCGCCATTGTAACCACAATCGACAACACGAGGAAATTCATACTGAAATTTTCGAAAATTTCCAAAATTCAACAATTGTCACCACTTACTGATGGCTTCACGTAAAATAATGATCATAATTTCATATATTTTTGCATTTTTATAACTATTTTCATCGTTACGTCATATTTTTATGACGACCTTTTGCCTTTGTCGTAAGTAATAGGTTTCAAAATGATTTATGTTCTGCATGATTATATATTGTACAATTTTTCATGTAAATTTTTTATTTACTACACTCATTTATGATTTCCCTTTTAATGACATTATTGTGAAAAAAATACCACGAATCATTAAAATGTTTTTTGGTTTTTCAAAATAATGTGTAAATGAATATTTTGGATAGTTCTAGAAATTAGATAAACAATTAGATAACAATTCAACATTATTAAAATCTACTATGTTATTAAAAACAAACTAAAATTATAGAATGAATAGGTAGTTACAAATTTTCACAGAATGAAATAATAAAGTATGTCAAGACAAAAATTCTAAGTAGTCTTTCATAACGGAAAATAAGAAAGTAATTGTATAATTCTTTTTATAATAATAAAAAAAAAAGTTTTTTTGTACCTGTAAGTAAGTTTAAAAATCCGATCACTAGACAATAGAATCCTGTCCAAGAGTATAGTGGAACACTGAAGTTCAGAAGAAAAACGTTTTCATTTATAGGAATAGCTTGATAGCATCGATTAGTTGCGGAAAAACGTTGTCCATTGTCGTGTTAATTATGTAAAATACTTAACCTGCAACCCTTTAGCAATTAATGTCTATTATTGATTACATTCAAGGTTGAAGTATCGAGAAAAAATCATGAGTCAGTGTGTCATGTTGCTACATACTGTAAATGTATAATAATACTGACGAATTTCCCCTGGGTATTGTGAAGTCTTGTGTCGCTCTTTGATAAACCTGAATCTTTATATCTACATTCTCGAATTTGATTAATATTTGGTCAATTCACTCCTGCTAAATATAACTGTTGCAAGTTTTTATATAATTTTATAAAAGGGCCGGCTCGACCGGAGTGATACCACGGCCTCACAGAAAACCGACGTGAAGCCACGCTTGCGTCGTGTTTCGTCGTGTGAGTGAGGTTACCGGAGGCCCAATTACCCTCCCCTTCCCCGATCTGCCCAATCCCTGAATCCCCATCGATCCTCAAACTCCTAATCCCCAAAAAGCCGGTGACGCACTTGTAACGCCTCTGGTGTTCCAGGTGTCCATGGGCGACGCCGATTGCTTACCATCAGGTGATCCGTAGGCTCGTTTACCGGCTTTGCCATAAAAAAAATGGTTTAATCGATTTGGCAGAAAATTGGTGAAGAGCTATTTTTATTCAAGGTTTTCCCAAATGTCCTACGGGAATTGACAAAAACGGGATTGCGGGCGCGTTCATAGTCGCGGGTAGGGCCTAGTTTGTCATATACCACACATTATAGTATTCACAAAATCATTGTTACTACAATGTTTTGTCATGTTTTGACGTTTTCTTCTACGAATTGTAAACATAACAAAAAGTAAGTAAATACTAATTTATGATTCTATGGTATAAACACGGCTTGACATCGAGCTATGTAAAACCAGTATAAACGGACCGTTAAATGTATTGAAAGATCATTGAAAGAGTATCCATAAAAATAACAAGTCCATTAATATTTATAGTTACAACTGCCTCGTTGGCCTAATCGTCGCAAGTTTCCCAGGTCGGGCAAAGTATTACTGGGTTTGTAAAAACCTCAGTACGGGGTCTGGAAATGTGCCCGGTATATGGCAATAGGCTCACCCCCTATTATATGGGACTCATAACATAAATAGTGAAAAGTGGGTGTTACTTCTGTGTGCACCTCTGCCTACCTCTTCGGGGATAAACAGGCGTGATGTTATGTTATGTTATGTAAGTAACTATGATTTGAGTAATGGTCCTATGTATCAGGAAACTATATATAAGGGGCTATAAAGTTATTGTTTAGCAATTTTATGATTTATACCAATAGGTATAGGTTTGTAAGTACCTTCGTAAGACCTATATAGGACATCATAAGACGTAATTGCTTAGAGTTAAGATTAAGTACTCGCTTATTTATTAATATCGTCGTTAAAAGAGACACATGTACATATAGTAATAATATGAATGACAGTTATGTGTATTATTGAATATTTACTTAATAAATACATGTGAATATATATCCTGAAGATACATTTTTTTGTTTTTTTTAAACAAGTTTATTTTGTGAAATTTTACATAAATCTTTTTTTTTTTAGGTGGGAAAATGACAATGCCAGATCCTGACCCAGTCATACTATCATTTACAAAAAAAGTAAATTGATGAAAATAATTTTGACGAATAAGGAACCTTTTCTCAATAAATCTTTTGATTTTTAAACTTGCGGTTTACAATTTAATAAAAAAAGAAGTTCAATCCCGGAAATACTTTTTTGCAAGGCATATTCCATATTCTCTAATGACTATTTGCGTTACATCATACGAAACTATGAAAATAAAAAAGTAAGTAACTGTAAAAAAAGATATCATTATACATAAAATATTATATCAAAAGTATAATTCTGTATAACATTCATTTATTTATTAATAATTACAGATGAAATCACGAAAATATAAAAGAAACGATTACTATCATTAGTTATGATTTTTTTGTGTAACGAAACGTTTTGAAGCGTCAGCTGTCAGTGTCAATATTATCTTTCATTCGCTCTCTGCGTTTCCGTTGTTTTCGCGTTATTTATAATTATTGTTTTGTGTTTTAAACAAAAACCGCAAGTTTTACAGGTTTCAGGACAAATGTTTAGGTATCGGTAATTAATACACTACACGATGCTGAATACTGCATACTTGTACATGACTTTAATATAGTGGGTCAAAGATGTACTGAGCACCTGGCATTGTCCTTAACATAAAGCTAAACTTGCCAGACTGTAACTTTTGATGGCAAGACAAGTAACGTTTGATGACGTATGAATTATAGACTTAATTATTTATTTTAGTCCACAGCGAAATTTCACAAGAAGTTTTTTAAAAGATCGTGTCACCTTCTGTCTACTTTTTGTTGTAGAATTATTTTTTATTTAACTCTCATTCTCTTTTATCTAACTTCAAAATTTTTTTCACAGTTTTCTTAAATTTAAATTTCTTTTTCACTATACATCGTATATACTTATCTTTAGTCATTATATCTTAATTAACGTACATAAATAAGTTAAATTCATTCTGTACCTGTTGCTTTATAAAATCAAGCATCTAACGTAAAATGCTTTACAGTTATATAGACATCAGGCGTTTATAACAACGTATGAAGTGAGCCGCGTCCGTACCACAAACATGTTCAGCCACTGCCACAGCCACAGAAGATGGACATCCAGGCATCGGCATCGCCTCCGATAAGGTCTCCGTACTAGCGAGAGAAAAATACTTCGTTCCGCGAAAAGTGCGAGAGGCCATCGAGATCAGCCGACGACCGTGCTTCAACAGGGATGGTGGCTGGGCACTGCCACCCGCGTGGAAGCCGAGCTTGGAGTCTTCGTCGATCCACAGCGTCTCCAGTCTGGAGTGTGACACAGTAAGCGTTATATGCAACACTGACTTTGTGCCGAACCCGGAATCGAACCCACGACCCGCGCCGCTGGTGAACGTTCCGTGCGCTTTAGCTTCGTCCAACGCGCTGCCGGAGTTGGAAGCAAACGCTCGTAGTGTCCGACAGAGGGCGCGTTGGGCTCGCAGCGCGTGTGGCAACACCGAGGCGAGCGCCAACGCCAGCCAGTGAGCTGCGCGACGTCGCCGCGACCGCGCACGCTGCTCATGAGGAAGAACCCCTCTGTGGTTCGAAACTAGTAGAGCTTTTCTCAGTATATTCACGTGAGTAACCCGCGTTTTTACTTAATTGAATATACTGTTGTTATTGAGGTTGATGAATAACAAAGTTAAATTACTTATGAACTGGGTATTAATCAGTTTCCTAAGTCGGTCTACGAAGGGCCAATAGTTTCAACTTAAATTTTATTCCTAAAAATACTAACAAATCCTGTAATAACAGACTCTAAACCAATGAAATAAAAGCTCATCTGATGGTAAGCAATTGGCGCCTATACATACCCACATCAGAACCAGAGAAATCCCAATTGCGTTGCCGACATTTTGAAGTGAATCGGATCTCCTGTAACTCACACGGCGTCATACAATGCAAACGTTGTTTTTTCAATTTTCTATCAGGCTTTGGTATAATTGTGGTTCATCGGGTCCATTCGGTTAGACAGACTAATACATCTTTATAAAAATATTTTTATATTTATTATTGTGTGTAAATAAGAATCGGTCCAAAGTTCACTAGGTGATTTTGTTAATAACATTAAATAAGATTTGTTGCCTTTGGTCCATGTTTGAGCTATGAGGAATTGTTTGATAATAAACAGGATTTGTTTGTTATTATCATCATAATATTAGTATATTTGTTTGAAAAAAACTTCTGGAAGTATGTCTAACCAAAGCTGGTATGCGGAATCATTGCCTAGTTACTAGCTTTTGAATTGGATCCCATTTTGAATGGAAATATGGTTATTAGTGACATTCTAATATGATGAACTAGAATATAATAAATAGTTTTTAATAATTTGTACTTCGTATTAGTAGTAGTTTTATTTTATATCCATATTGCACACTTTCGTTTGTTCAGAATTAATTGTATCCATTACGTTTATTTTTAGGAAGAGGTAGGTAAAAGGTATCAATGCTTCCTAGCACTTTTATAAGAATAAAAACAAAATATTATTTTCTTTGGTTTATTAAAATATAAATACTATCAAATTTAACAAGATAAAAATATATACATGTCATGGTATCGCTACATTTCTTTTAGAAAAAAAAATGCAAATATTATTGAACAAAATATTTGAGCAACATTAAAAAAAGTACTGAGTAAAAAATTGAGCATTTGGAGGTGTTTCAAACAGACGACGTAGAAGCATTATTGTACTTGATTTAAATAAGTAAAACTTAAAGTCACAGGCTTAAAAGTCAAAGAATAATGCGGTGATCAAGGAATGCTTGGACTATATCTGTTTAAAAATCACCCGTAAATTATTTTTGATAAGATATAATTTATTCTGGGATGACGATGCCGTTAGCCCTGGCGCGGTCTTCGTATGTCTTCCTCCACTTGCCAGAGGAGTCGTACTTGTCGGTCAGCTCATGCCAGGTGTCCAGCTCGTTCTGGATCAGATGTTCGATGACCTTGTATGCTCCCTTTTCTTGAGCTTCAGTACATTTCGAGCAGCCAGTCTCAATGGCGTCTACCAGATGTTCTGAAAAAGAGATTGAGTACGTGTTAAAATAGTAAAATAGTTGGTTTTTTAACTTATTTGTTTATTTAGTTTTTCTTTTGAATTGATTTGATAGTACATTTGGATGGACTTTTTACCATAAATTGATCAGAAAAAGTTTTGCAATACGTTGCTATTATATTAAGAAATCGGCGTTATTTAAGATTCATAGTTCAGATCTTTCCCATTTACCCGGACATTATTTTTATAGCAATCAAACAATACACAATTGGTGTTTATATTTTCCTCATTACATACGTCACGGAAAACGATCACTCAATAAACGTCATTCAACAACGAAATATATTATTGTCATCACATCTTATATGGGCTACTTCATGTTAACAATGTTTTTTATAACATTTACTCTAAATGCTATAGTAGTCCTTTTTGTGTTTAGTTAAGGTTCAAAATAAGACTTCATTTTCACAATAAGAATAGGTTTAGATGTGAAGTGTATTGATTTCCAAAAATTTCAAGTCATTATTTATCTAATTAGTAACAAAAAAGTTTATTTTTTCTTTTGTAATAACTAGGTTTTCGATATCAAAATGGTCATCTACCCATGTCCATTCTGTACGTATAAGTATATGCCTATATCATATATGTCAGGTCTCTTCCATAGTGTTATGTGACAGCCATTACATAACTCAGACAATAAGTATACAATACACTACTGCTTACTGTGAGGTTAAGATAAATACTCTATTTAATATAATTACACCGACGCGGTGGGAGGTTAATTACATTTGCCATTGAACAATAATATTACACGTGCGTAGTGAATAATATTCTTATGTGAGTTCGGTCATTGTTTTGTTTTGTTGTTCCAGTGGTCGTAGGTACGACGTCTAACAAAGAGTCCTATGACCGTTTTCAACATAACATAACATCACGCCTTTTTATCCACGAAGGGGTAGGCAGAGTTATGAGTCCCATGTAATAGGGGGAGAGCCTATTGCCATATACCGGGCATATTGCCATATGCCACATTTCCAGACTCCGTGCTACTACTGAGGTTTTTAAAAATCAATTAATACTTTGCCCGACCCGGGAATCGAACCCGAGACCCCTTGCCCGGCAGTCGCACTTGCGACCACTCGGCCAACGAGGCAACCGTTTTCAACAATTACCCCTTAAACTGTATTTAAACCAGGAGTTACTTAGAGTGAGGGGGCACCTAAACAGATCCCTTACTTGCACTGTCAGGTGTCAATTTTTTGACACCGAAGGTTGATGAAAACGGTCACTAGAAAAATGGTATAAGTTCGAAGGAGGCTGTGTAAACTTTTAAGAACTTCGTTAGTATATTCTTTTTTAAAACTAGGTTTATTTATTTTCAGTCTTACAATTAAATAATTGTAGGCTTTACAATTAAAAATTTAATTGTAGGCTTTACTTTTAACCTTGCCCCACATAGTTAGATCTGTAAGACTGATGTTTTCAGAACAAACCTTAATTAATTTAGATGGAGGTAACGCATTTTTTACTCATTATTTTATGAAGGCAAGTGATTAGTAAGATGTATGAAATACTGCCTAATTATTATGTCCTGATTACAAAACAGTTAATGGATTTCCAAAAGTATTTCTTTGCTGGCTTCTGCCCCCGTCTTCGCCCACAATCCCGTGGGATAAAAAGTAGCCTGTGTTATTCCAAATACTAATCTATTCCTGTTCCAAATTTCAACCATATCCCTTCATCCGTGTTGATATGATTGTGTAACAAACAAACACACAAACTTTCAAATTTATAATTATAGTATGATATTTGAGATTTGTACTTAGACACTGTCTCGTCCAGTGGTCGTTAGTGCGACCAAGGAATCTTAGATTCGATTCTCGGGTCGGTAAAGGTATTATTGAGGTTTATGAAATTGTGACATTTGTGACTGCCTCATTGGCCGAGTGGTCGGTGGCCGGGCAAGGGTTCTCGGGTTCGATCCCCGGGCCGAGCAAAGTTTTGTTGGTGTTTTTTATAAAATTCTCAGTAGTAGCACTGAGTCTGTAAATGTGCCCGGTATATGGCAATCAACACACCCCCTATTACATGGAATTCATAACATAAATAATGAAAAGTGGGTGTTACATTATAAACTGACAACAAGTGCCGTAATATATACCTCTGCCTACCCCTTCGGGGATAAAAGGCGTGATGATGTTTAGTGACGTTTGCATAGGATAACTCACAATTACATGGAAGTCGTGAAGTGCATCTTACATTGTCTATGTACTCCTTTGCTGCCTTTGGGGCAAAAGTGTTTATATATCAATCTAATATAAGTATTAGAAATGTGAACTAAACTATAACCTCTTTTATGTCTATCCTTTGAGGCTTTAATACTATCGTAAGGACAAAGAACTCTATCCTTACATAGATGTAACGACCAACGATGTTTTGTTTGTGATTGCAGTTATGAATATTCATAGTGTTCTATTACGTCAGTCATTTGTATTCTTATTTAGATAGTTATATATTTGTATATATATTACTATAGATCTTCCTGTAGATCTTACATGTCCTGTAGATTCTTATCAAATATTCTAATCATTTTACCCTGGGATGATACACAGATGAAACTTTTATTTTTCCGGACACTCAAAGTATCTTTGAAATCTGAATTCTACATGATATAGTTTCATTTTTATATGAAGTAAGTATGTACGAGAGTAACACTATGAGTTTAAATTGTGTTATCTATATTTTAAGGCAGTTCTTGAACACACAAATGAGGACCTTATTATTAGGAAAATAAGGATCTTACCTTTCAATTCCTTGCCCTCAGGACTGCACTTTCCTCTCTCCATGATGCAGTTGACGTAGGCAGTGAGGAGCCTCTTGTTGGCAAGGATCTCATCCAGGTCGATGTTGTCGTACTTGCTAGGGTACTTTTCATCTTCAGCCAAGACTGCGGCAGCCATCAGGCACAATACTAGCACGAATTTCATGTTGTCCTGGAAGATAGAAGCATTTTTTATTAGTTAACAATATGTGCCTATTTTTGTTTTGTTTTAAGAGGTATCTAGTGTATTGTTACTGTAGAAATATATGCCTATGGAGATCAAAGTAATACTTTAGTTTATATCATTAGAGTACATACAAACAGATGATTACATAGAACTTAAATTTGCATCTCTGTAAACGCGGATTTAAGGAGATGTTCGAAATTGGAGCGATAATGTTTGCACAATAATGATAAAAGGAGACAGTGCGGATTGATTGTTAACAAAAAAATAAATAAAAAATTTAATTTTTATGATATGTTAATAGGGCACTGTTGGGAGAGTCCAATTTGATGTATCCACACATAAAAAAAGTCACTGAACGTCACAGAATATCCTACCTAAACCTATTTCTAGTTTTTGAGGGAATAAAACATTTTTTTTTTATTCTTATAGCCACAACTTTTTCTTTTAAAATCCAAACTATTGTTCTTAGAATTGAACTTAGTATATAATATATATAACAATGTATATACAATAATATAATAATATGTTTGTATTTATTTGACTTACCGATTTGTTCCTGATGTGTACGGTAATCTCAAGTAGCCAAGTGACTTATGATGTCCACTGTAATAATATACCTCTATATATACTGCTGGCCGGTGTGCTTAAAACATCTAATTTGCCCCTGGTTGGTTCATTATTTTATCTGTCTTCGATGCATAACTCGCGTACTTGTTGTACAGGAGGTTACACTTTGTTTGTTTACATTGGCAGTACATATGAAATGGATTTTAGGTTTCTTTATATGGTTTTATATAGATATTATAAATGTTAAGTGTTTTCCTTTTTAAATGTTCAAAATACATAATATATTTACACTCTGTTAGAATCTCATCTAAAAATAGTGTTTGTAAGTAGTTTTATTTCAAAACTTCTTTTTTATTGTATGTTTATTTGTTTTTAAATTTGGACACACAACAGTACCTACATACAAAAGTTTTCATATAGTTATTTACTTTACTTTGTTTTCAAGGAGAAATATTTAGATTATCTACTCATTATAATTACCTTATTATGATAATTTTATGAAAAATTTAATTATGTTAACTAATTTAATTGCTAGTCATTCAGGAACTTTTGCTGAAATATTTGACGTTTTTTTTGTTTTATAATAGCATGGGAACAATAGAAAAGGAAAATGTAAATGTTAATTAATATCAGCAATTAATCATGGCAGTATTATTACTTTCCTACAAAAAGTTATGACAATTGATACAGATACTTTTCCAATGACACAAAGTTCGTTTTAACCTTTAAGATCATTAACATTAAAAATAATGGACCTATCATTACTCTTTTAATTATTAATCATAATTATCCTAATTGCTTTTCAAATCCCTGAAAACATTACAAGAATATTTTCTACAACCATAATCTACATTGAAGATAATTTTGAGTGGTCAATTCCCGGGCCGGGCAAAGTATTACTGGGATTTTTAAAATTTATCAGTAGTAGCACGGAGTCTGGAATTGTGCCCCGTATATGGCAATAGGATCATCCCCTATGCCATTGGACTCATAACATAAATCGTGAAAAGTGGGTGTTACATTGTACAGTGGCATGTGCACTTCTAGCTACCCCTTCGGGGATAAAAGGCGTGATGTTATGTCATGTGGAGATAATTTGTAGGAGGACAATTGTTTTTTTAGTCGCAATATATTGATCATCAACAGTCTATACATGCCCACTAGTCGCGGAGAACCTAACCGGTAACCGGGGCTCCGGCTCGACGTGCAGGAGAAGGAACGGGGTGGTTTTTAGTTAGTAAGAGTCTGACACTCCCTCCCGCCTCACCCAGGCGGGAGCAGACATTCGATGATTTTCCCCCCTTAAAAAAATACATGCCCACTGCTAACCAAAAGCCTCTTCTGACACGCAGAAGCTTTGAGCATTAATCACCACGCTTGCTCAATGCGGGTTGGCGATTTCAAACTTATAATTGGAAATTATAAATAAGCCAAAGTTTCCTCACGATAGTCTTCTTCACCGTTGGTGTCTAAATAATCTTAGAAAGAACATACAACTCGGAAAAAGTCACATTAGTACTTGCCGTTGGTAGGTTTCGAACCCGTACTCTCATGCATGAGAAGTGGGCGTCTTTAACATCCTGGCCATCACGATTAGAGGTATATAAGGATACTAAATATCAATAACATGAAGTATTAAAATCCAACGTGCATTAAAAGAAAAGGCTTATAATCCAATTTAAAATAGCGATCTGCTTAACTTGTTGATTACAGCAAAACCTTTTTTATATAGAACTCATACATACATTTCAGTAGGTGATTGTCACGAGATCTGGATGATGAAAGCAATCTAGATTCATAACATAACTACTTTTTGTCGTTTCTTGCCTGAAATCGTGCGCAGACATATTACATCCATACGTTACTGGCTTACATAATTCGGTGCAATTCACACATGATGGAGTTGATCGTAATGTAAGAATAATACTTATTTTTATTTAAGTCTTTGATTTGTACATACATACATAACTTCACGCCTGTCTCCCATGGGGGTAGGCAGACACTAAGGAACGCCAATTACTACGATTCTTACATACCTCTTTCGCTTCATTAACCATCATCAATCTTTTCATGCATGCTCGTCGGTTAAGGGTACTTTTAATTTGGCCCTTCTTTAATATATCGCCAATCTGGTCACTATATGTCCGTCTAGGGCGCCCTCTACCGACGGCCCCATTCATATCCGCTCTGTATACCTACTTCTTTCGTTACTCTACTTTCATCCATCCTTTCTACATGTCCAAACCAGCGTAACATTCCCTTTTCAATCCTTGTCACTACATCATCTTTGATTTGTAATTAAGGTTATCAATATTTTATGATGACAAAACAATGAACATTCAGTTTCAAGACTGCCTCGTTGGCCGAGCGGTCGCAAGTGTGACTGCGACGGCAAGGGGTCTCGGGTTCGATTCCCGGGTCGGTCAAAGTATTACTGGGTTTTTCAAAAAATTGACAGTAGTAGAGTCTAGAATTGTGCCCGGTATATGGCAATAGGCTCACCCCCTATAACATGGGACTCGTAACATAAATAGTGAAAAGTGGGTGTTACATTGTACAGTGGTATAATATGCACCTCTGCCTACCCCTTCGGGGATAAAAGGCGTGATGTTATGTTATGTTATGTTACTAAAAACATTTACAAAAACATATAGAACTCATACTTATTATTTATTACTTGTACGCTCAGATACAATGCTCACTGAATGTCAATAGGAGTATAGTGCTTTAGTATTTTACTCATGTTTTGTATCTATTCGCAGTTTCCCTTATGTGCTAATTACTAATTAGTAATTGAGACATTATTGAGACAACATATTTTTGATTAGCATCAAGCGTTTCTAGACATTTATGCTCCATTATAATAGTTTAATATAATACTGCTAGCATTATTTTAAACTATTTTTCTATCATCAACAGCTTATAAATGTCCACTGCTGAACAAAGCCTCTTCTCACACGGGGAAGGTTAGAGCATTAATTACCACGCTTGCTCAATGCGGGTTGGTGATTTCAAACTTATAATTAGAAATGATAAGCTCAGGTTTCCGGTAATAATCTTAGAAAGTAGGTACATATAACTCGGAAAAAGTCACATTGGTACTTGCTTGGTAGGTTTCGAACCCGCACCCTGGTGCATGAGAACGAGGCGTCTTCAACCTCCGGGCCACCACGACATCTACATTTTTCTATAATTCATGTAAATCGATATAGTAATTTCGGAATACAAAGTAAAACATGTAGTATATAGTTTATTGTATTTTTATATATTTTTTGTGTATTTTTTTTTAATATTGCTAGTACCTATATTATTATAGTTTATTGAACCTTAATTTCTATTGTACATTTCTGTTTTTTTATATTAATATTTCCATCCGAAGGTTGTCTGGAAGAAATCACCATTGTGTGATAAGACCGACCATTGTACGTATATTTACTTGGATTGTTTGTTTCTTAAGCTACTTAAATGTGTACAATAAAGCTTAAATAAATAAATAATATAAAAATACTTTCTTATTTTCAACTTAAGAACATTATGTTCATTGTTTATATAATAGCTTCTGCCCGCGACTTCGTACGTGCAATTCTGTTTTCTCCTGTTCCCGTAGGATTTTCAGAATTTTTTTTCTATCATAAAAACCTTCTCCTGACAATAACAAACACAACAAAAAAATTAGACAAATCGTTCCAGCCATTCTCAAGTTATAGTGTAACAACGGGAAACGGGTTTCATTTTTATCTATATAGATTTATTCGAGAATCTTGTACTGAACATTAAAATAGGATATAACAGACGGAGAACGTGGACTTCTTTTTGCGAAATCTGTTAAACGTATCAATGCCCTTATGATTTACATAATTATAGTAATTACTATTGCCTTAGTACATAAATAGTCCGTGTTAATTTGGTACACGCTGTATATGAAAATTATGTTAAGGGGAAACGCCCGCAGGGTCTTCCGTTTTCTTGACCGTTATACAGCCTTGAAACTGCGTTCATTGTTTATACGTTATTTACATTACAACCTGTTCATAAAATTCTAAACAAATAGATACTAATGAATAAAGTACAATTAAATAAAGGCTGTTATTTTATTAAAACATAGTCACAGACAAAAAAATTAAAAATGATTCAAAAAGAGCCAAGTTGATTTGGTTCGTATTATCAGCGGCATAAGTCTTAATTCTCTTTGTCAAACAGAGGTGTCATTAAAATTTCTTCTTTTTTGACCCACGAACAAGATTTGACATTGTATTGTTTGTTAATTTACGAAAAAAACCTTAATGATGTATACGAAAATTGAGTTATTTCGACTTTTTAGCTTGTTAGGTTTCATATACTTATGAGTCAACTAATAAGACCTAATAATAATAATTATAGCGTGTGTTTGTGTACCGGAAACATGTAATATGTTTGCGTAATATGTCAAAGTAATGATAATAAACAATTGGAACACTATTACGTCTTTTGTTTCGTGTCCTTATACAGGATTTTCAGTAAATACCTGTTACCATAAGTTCTATAGTTACGGCAGGGGGTGGAAGCTTGGATAATATAGACAATGACATAATGACTTGACAATTTTCGACATTAGTAAATTGTGGCAGAAGCATAGAGTCTAGTATTGTACTCGCTATAGGCCTATCCCTTTTAACATTGATGTAGGTGCACAGCACATGGACATATCTAACCAAAGTCACATTTATTTTTCTTGTTTTGTTATAAATTCCATGCAATAGGGAAGGGGGGAGGTTAAAGTTGAGCCATTACAAACATGCGAACTGTCAAAAGTCATTTTTATCGGGTCTCTCGCTCATACATAGGTATGCGAGATGCGTGGGATTGTCAAATTCCGTAGACGTGACAATTTGCACGTTTGAAATGGCCCCATTATAACCTAAGTCCTATGTAATGTCGCGGAGAACCTAACGGGTAACCAGGGCTCCGGCTCGACGTGCAGGAGAAGGAACGGGGTGGTTTTTAGTCAGTAAGAGTCTGACACTCCCTCCCGCCTCACCCAGGCGGGAGCAGTCATTCGATTATTTTCCCCCCTTAAAAAAAAAA